GGCCACAACGGGCGCGACTCCTGGGCGCCTGGGTGTCGGGAGCGCGGCGCTTGGGCAAATGGCCGGAAATTCCAACGCAAGGCCATTCTTCAGTAAGTTGCAAGCAAGTCTCCAGCGAGAGCGCGACTCCAGAGCGCCGGGAGAGCGATTCCTGAATAAATTGCAAGGAAGTCCCAAGCGAGAGCGCGATTCCTGAATAAAATGCGAGGAAGTCTCGGGCGGGAGCGGGGGTCCTGGCTAAATTGTGAAGAAGTCTCAGGCGGGAGTCGTTGTTGTTGTAACCCGGGGGCCAGGGGCCCAATTTGAGCAGGAAGATTTTCCCTGTCAAAAAACAGGGTGCGAGCGTCGAGGGGCACACTTGGATTGAGAAAAAACAGTATGCACCGGTGGGGGGGGATCACCAATAATTATTTTTCAGAAATGAGAATTCAACAACAACAGCAACAACAACAACAACAGCAACAACAACAACAACAACAACAACAACAACAACGACGACAACGACAACGACAACGACAACGACAACGACAACGACAACGACAACGACAACGACAACGACAACGACAACGACAACGACAACGACAACAACAACAACAACAACAACAACAATTACTAGCACGTGGGGACACTCCGTTCTCACCAGTGCCAGGGTTTTCATAGGAGGCGGGCAATACCCCCACTTTGTGGGGGGGCCGGTTCAAGCTCTACCAAATTTCCAAACGACTCTTCGCCACCACCCACACCCAGCTTCCCGCCCTATGACGTTCGGACACTTCACTTCGTGGCATGCGGACGACCGTGGCTACTATTCAGGGCCCCGCGGCCGACGACGACGGCGTGCGCGCGCGAAGAAAAAACGAATGTGTCCCGCATGGTATTATTTGACAGGGATGATGGCCCTGGCAGGTGCGCAACCGTTGTTGCAGAAGTTCGAAAAAGTTGCTCGCAAAAGCCCGTTTGACAGAAATGTTTAAAAAGTGTTGGGTTTCCTACGAATCCGCAAGAGCGCGCGGGATGAAATTTTGACATTTTTTTTTGAAAAACCATTGGTTTTTTGATGTTTTTATGTTAAAATCGCTACGAAAACTAAGGTTTTGGAAGGATTTCGTCTTGCGCGCGCGAATGTCCACTTTACCTTATTTTTTGCAAGGGATTCTTGAAGTTTGGATATGTTAGAACAAGAAATGTCCACTTTAGCTTATTTTTTGCAAGGGAAAGCGGGGGACAACAAAACAACCGGATCTGGTACACATCGTTTTTCCTGAGACTTCCTCACGAAAATGATGAAAACGTGGCTGCGGCCTAGGTGCGGCGGGGGGGGCGCGCACCAGGGGCCCCAACAATAATTATTCTTAAGAAGAAATAATGTTCAACAACAATCATTATAAGGCTGTTCGCTCTTATCTGCTCGAGTTTCATTCAGCGTGCATTTCCCGAACCCTCGATATCCTCCCTCTGCGTCTTCGATCATACCACTTTTAGTGGGTATATATTTCTTCGTGAGTTCTGCGTGATTAGCCAGGAAGTTTCCAGAGAGAGCGATTCCTTAGTAAATTCGAGGAAGTCCTCAGCGAACGCGCGATTCCTGAATGGCAAGAGCGCGGGGCCTGAGTAAATTGCGAGAAGTCTCAGGCGGGAGCGCAATTCTCGAGTAAATTGCGAGGAAGCGGGAGCGGGGGACCGGAGTACATTCCGAGGAAATATCCAGCGGGAGCAGTTGTTGTTGTAAACCAGGGACCAGGGGCACAGTTTGAGGAATAAGACTTTCCCTGATAAAAACCAGGTGCGAGCGCTGGGAAGGGCACTTCAATTGAAAAATACAATGTGCACCGGAGGGGGGGAATCAATAATTACTCTTCAGTAGTGAGTGTTCAACCAACAACAACAACAACAACAACAACAACAACGGCAACAACAACAACGACGACGACAACAAGACCAACGACAACAGCAGCAACAACAGCAGCAACAACAACAAAGATAACAACAACATCATTACTGGTAACGAAATTAATCAGCATCATCAGCATCAAAATCAGCATCATCAGCACAATCAGAACCGTAATCATAATCAGAATCATAATCACGTTTTTAATTGGCACAAACAAAAAAGGGGCCAGTGTACTGAGGCCAAGGAATGGGGAGGAGCGCGCAGCGTGGTACAGTGGAGCGGGTATGACTAATCGACCAGAGTGGACTGGAATGGAAGTAGTAGAGCGTACTGGGCAGGATATGGAAGCACTGGGAAGGAGCTGCGGGGGCGGGCCGGAGTACCCGTCGGTCCGAAGAAGTGGGTACAAACATGAAGAATGAAGGCGTTGGAAGTAGATTGGGCTTCTGCCCGCCCCCTGAAGACGAAGGAGAAAGGAAAATCACTCGATCCTTCAAGTAGGAAGGCGCCTAAAGTAGACTGGAATCTGGGAATCGAAAAATACCTACTTTCAACGACCGACGTGCAAGCATGATTGGAGAAAAGCGCGGAGGACGCAGAACTGTAAGGAGGAGCGGGGGAGGATGGCGAAGAAGACCACGGGAGTCGGGCCGAGAGAAGGAAGCGGGGTGGAGTGGAAGGAGCGGGAGGAGCGAGGGGTTGAGAGGGAGGCGGGCAGAATCATGGGGAACCTCCTCCTGCTCCCGAGCTCTCTCCTCGGTCCTCGGTCCTACTCCTCGCGCCTCCTCCCTCCCTCCACCTCCTCCTCGAACCTCGGCATCGCCCATCCTCGATCCTCTGGATGCTCGATTTTCGGTCCTCGGCCCTCCTCCAGCATCCTCCTCACTTGTCCTCGATCCTCGATCCTCCTCGATCCTCCTGTCGCTGTCGCTGTCAGCCTCGAAGTTCGGTTCGAACGTGGCCACCCACCCACCCCAGGGCTAGGGTGAGAGAAACAGAGAAGATGCAAAGGTGTAGGCAAAAACAAGAAAAGCTCAAAGCTTCTGTTAAAAAATCTTACCTATAATAGTAACAATGATAAGAATGATCACAACACTAATAATGATAATAATGATAATAATAACAACAAAAGCAAAAAATAATTCTATAAAACTAGATGGATACATATATATATATATATATATATATATATATATATACGCAAAGAACCAACACATACACACACACACGCACACACACACACAAACAAACAAACAAACAAACAAATAAACAAACAAACAAACAGACAAACAAACAAACAAGAGCAAACAAGAACAACAACAAAAACACGAGAGGCGCTGCAGACTCCCAAGGAGGGCGGGGTAGCTAAGTCCCCTGGCTGGCCCTGGGAAGCAGGGAACGACGACACAAGAGGCGGCAACGACACTCCGACAAAACTGCAACCCGAGGCGGCGGCGGAGAGCGGCGGCGGCGACAGGAGGGCGGTTCGGAGGGGGACGCAGAGTGGAGCTTGGCCGAACAAGGCGCGACGGCTGGCGAGATCAAGAGCATGTGAGGGGGGGCGGGAACCGACAGTGGACGGTGCAAGCCGTGGACACGAGTGCGGGAGCGGCCGCACTCGCCGAAGGTGGGAAGGCGCAAGGGCCTCTCCTTCGGAAGCCAAACGGTTCCGATAGCGCTACTCCCCAGACCTCTCCCAGGGTTCGTTCTGACCAGGATTCCGGGGCGAATCCAGCAGTGGCGACGAGGGCCTCCCAGGAGGCCCCAAAAAGGGGAAAATCGGGCACGGATAGCTGTCTGGGTGCCTCTGCCTCCTGTGCCTCTCCCCTTCCTAAAAGAGTCTGGAACGAGCTGTCCCCGTCCGGAACGCTCCGAGGAGGCCGCGGCGCACGAGACACCCTCCAGAGCCGCAGGACTTATCCTCACCCGATTTGATCCTCGTCGTGGCGGCGTCTTACTTCTGGAGAGCAGAGATGGGTGTGGTGGAAAGGGGTGTGGTGCCAATCGCGGGGACGGCGATGTTATCATCAGACAGCATCGCCAGATTCAGCAGTGGCACCACACCCATCTGCTCTAGAGGCCTCCTAGATGGGGTCGGAGATGGGTCGGAGGATCGCGCCGCATCGCCGATAGATCGGCGATGCATCGGCCATGCATCGGCGATGCATCGGCGATGCACCGGCGATGCACCGGCGATGCACCAGCGATGCATCGTCGACGTCGGCGATGCATCGGCGACGTCGACGTAAGCAAATCGGGCTGCACATCGAGCCGCATCGGCGGTGCATCGGCGATGCGACGCGATCCTCCGACCCCATCTACTCGGACCGCATCTAGGAGGCCTAGACCAATGCACCTTACCGTGTCTGGACTTCCTTCAGGCCCCGCTCCAGCGCGGTACGGTCCATAGTTGTTCGGATCCGAGGGACGAACGGCTGTGCATTGTACCAGTCCTGGGCCGAGGATCAACGCCTCGGGAGACGTCTTCCACACCCCATCTACTCCGACCCCATATTCTCCGACACCGTCCATAGACGAATAAAAAACGGAGGAAGAAAAAACGGCATAAACATTGACTTTCAGCGCTCCGCGCGGATTTCTTGAATCTGCGCTGGGCCCCCCCGACGGCGCCTCCGGCGCCGCCCCAAGCACACTCCGCGCGCCAGGGAGGGGGGCCCAGCGCCGATCCGAGAAATCCGCGCGGAGCGCCAAAAGCCTACGTTTATGCTGTTTTTTTGTCGGAACCACTAGGCCTAGGCCTGGGCAGGGACCGACCGTCCCGGCATGCCTATAGGCCTACCACGAAATGTTCTTAGAACCCAAAAATGTTCAAATAACAAAAACGATGTCCTTAGAGCAGCAAGCCGATGTGTTAAAACAAGACAGCCCCAGCCAGAAATGGTCTACGCACATGTTGTGCAAACCACGAAAGGTTCTTAGAACATTGTTTGGTGGGCCTCTGGGCCAGATCAGGACGCTTCGCCACCGTTTGAGAGACACACCACACCCCCTTCCCGCCTCCCGGATCACTGCCCCGGGCCCCGCCCCTGGCAGAGAGGCCGGCAGAGGCCGCGGAAGCGCGCGCAGTTTGCCCGCGAAGGCCCCCGGCGAGTCCTCCGGCCTTGGCGCCCCCGCGCCCTGCGGCCCGGGGCAGCCGGAGCTGCAGGACTCCTGGGGCGCAGCGGCGCCCGGCAGGGGAAGCCGGGGGGGGGGGGGGCCGAGGAGCGATGACGATGACGATGAAGACGACGACGACGACGACGACGAGGACGAGGACGAGGACGAGGACGAGGACGAGGACGAGGACGAGGACGAGGACGGCGACGAGGACGACGACGACGACGACGACGACGACGACGACGACGACGAGGACGAGGACGTGGACGACGACGATGACGACGACGAGGACGATGACGCTGACGATGACGATGACGTCAGCGTCAGCGTCAGCGGCAGCGTCGTCGTCAGGGGTACCTGCGGGCAGCCCAGGAGAGGTGCTCACGAGGCGCCTGCGAACGGCCCAGGAGAGGTGCTCAAGAGGTGCCCGCGAGCTGCCCAGTGCCTGCGGTCAGCCCAGGAAGAGTACCCAGGAGGTGCCTGCGGGCTGCCCAGGACGGGTGCGTGAGAGGTGCCTGCGGGCGGACGAGGGCGGGGGGCCAAGGAGCGACAGACAGACAGACAGACAGACAGACAGACAGACAGAAGCATTGCATCCAGGTGGGCGACGATCAAAAACGGGTCTTACGCGAGATAACGTAGGGACTTTGCGCGGCGGCCTGCGCGGGCCGCCACCGCGGCATGCCGCATTGGAGACAACGGCGCTCACGCGCGACCTCGCGCGGGCAGCTCACGCGCCAATGTCGGCGCAGACGACCCCGTGGTTTTGCGTCGTTCAGGTGGACGCGCTGGCAGGAGAATACATTAGAACAGCCAAACACTGTTGCCCTAGGCTGGCGGCACTGCGAGCTCAGAGGTGCGGCCGAGCACCTCAACTTGAGATGACAACGTTCGCAGAAGAGACGGAGATGATAACAACGATCAAAAATGTAAGGAGGGTTCTTTGCGGAGCGAGGAGCGAGGGGTACCTAAACCATATTTGGAGATGAAGCGGTCATCGGCGAAATTCTGAAAGGGGCCCGTCGACACACAGATAAGTAGACCTGAATCACAGGATGCCCCATGTTTTCCATGTCGTTTGGATTGTAAGATTCCTTCTCCACCTCCCATACTTTCCCATATATATATATATATATATATATATATATATATTCCTGTGAATCGACGATTATTTGTGTCTGTGTGTGTTTCCCTCCCTGAATACTGGAGGTTATTGAGCAGCTCGAGGCAAGTCGATTCCGCCGGAGGCGGTCGAGGAACGAGGGGCCGAGGAGCTCGGGAACTGCATTCCACATCGAAGTCGCCTAGGGCGACTCACAGCGGCCCCCCGCCTTTTCTGGAACTGTTGATGTGGCCAAACGTCGGGCCAGCACCGGGCCAGCACCGGGCCAAGCTTTTGGACTATGCGGTCCCACCCCGTCCCACACCTTGGGGGGGCACTTGGGAGAGGAAGAGGGGGGGGAACAGGCTAAGTGCGCTCGCGCTACATCTGCCATCCTGTCCCTTCCTCTCATCCCGTCACATTGCGCCGATTCTTCCTCCATCCGCGGACGCGTGTCTGAAGGCCTCCTAGATGGGGTCCGAGTAGGTGGAGTCAGAGGATCTCGCCACATCGCCAATACATCGGCGATGCATCGCCGACGCATCGGCCATGCATCGGCCATGTATCGGCCATGCATCGGCCATGCAGTGGCGACGTCGGCAATACATCCGCGACGTCGGCGTGGAGAAACTTGGGCCCCACATCGAGCCGCATCGCCGACGCATCGGCGATGCGGCGCCATCATCCGACCCCATCTGCTCCGAGCCCATCCGGGAGGCCCAGACCCATGCGCCTTACCGTGCCTGGACTCCCTTCAGGCCCCGCTCCAGCGCGGGAACCCATCCTGCCGCGCGCGGCGGGAGGAGCGAGGGGCCGAGGAGCGGGGATTCGAGGGCAGGGGGTCGAGGGTCGAGGGTCGGGGGTCGGTGCTCGGGACGTCGAGGGTCCGGGGGTCGAGCACTCGCCCGGGCCGAGGATCGGGGCTCGAGGGCCGAGGCCGGGAGGTTCGAGGAACGAGGGTCGAAAAAGGCTTTTAAACGCGTCTGGTAGATGTACCACTACACATACATACATACATACATACATACATACATACATACATACATACATACATACATACATACATACATACATTCATACATACATACATACATACATACATACATACGTACGTACGTACGTACGTACGTACGTACGTACGTACGTACATACATACATACATACATACATACATACATACATACATACATACATACATACATACATACATGCATACATGCATACATACATACACACATGCATGCATGCATGCATATATACATGTCTACCTACCTACCTACCTACCTACCTACCTACATACATACATACATACATGCATACATGTATACATAAACACACACACATACATACATGCATGCATACATACCTACATATATATATACATATATACATACGTACGTACGTACGTAAACACGTACGCAGATTCGTACGTACGTCCATACATAAATACATACATGTATAAATACATATATACACACATATATACATGCATATACACGTACATACCTACATACATACACACATACATATATGCATGAATACATGTATATGTGCATGCATACGTACATACATGTATACATACACACATGCATACATACATGCCGACACACCTACAAACAAACAAACATACATACACAACTACACACGTACACACGCATACATGTATAAATGCATGCATGTATGCATACAGACATACATGCATACCTACATACATATATGTGTATTTATGCATGTATGCATGTGTACGTGCATGCATACATGCATACATGCATAAGTGAATGCAGTCATACGTCGATGCATGAATAGATTCGTGCAACCGTGCATACATACATGCATGCATACGTACAGATGTACGTACCTGCACAAACATGCATACATACAGTCATATATATGTATATATACAGCTATGCATACACACACGTGTATATATATATATATACAGACATATACATACATACAAACATACATACATACATACATACATACATACATACATACATGCATGAGTACATACATGCATGCATACATACAAACAAACCTACATACATACATACATGCATGCATGCATGCATACATATGTACATACATACATGCATACATGCATGTACTTATAATCGCTACGATTCAGAGTAGGCCCTGTGGGCACCCTCAAGACGACCCCAGGAGGCAACATTTGCGGAAAACCCAGAGCGAAACGCGAGGAAGACGTTCAAGAGGGCTCTGATAGTCTCACCAATCCTTTGGGCTAAGGTGTTATAATGAGTTCTGACTCTCTTCTTCCAAAACCCCTCGTCCCTTCGGGGAGGGGGGGGGTACCCTCCCCCTCCCGAAGGTTTTGTAGGGCGGACCGCGATCGGTCAGAGCGTCCCAGATGGCCCAAGATGGCTCCAAGAGGGCCTCCGATGCGCCGAGATGGCCTCCGAAGCGACTCAAGAAGCCGAAAATTGCACAAGAATCCGTCATGGCTCCAAGAGGCCCGACGAGGGCCACAAGACGATTTCAAATGATCCCCGAGCCCCCTCAAGAGCCCGAAACGATGCAACAATCCTTCAACAAGCTCCGAAAATTCAATGGCGTTTGCCCTCTCGTCTTTGCGCACCCGATAGGCCCCAAGATTGTCTGAAGATGGCCCGAGAGAGCCGCAAGAGGGGCCCAAGAGGCCTCCAGAACGGCCCCAAGAGCACCCCAAGATTGGCCCAACGTCCCAGGAGCGGCCCAAGAGCTACTTTGATGGCCCCAAGGGGGGCGAGGCAAATTTGGGCCCCCCGCCTATTTGATCGACAGGCTCCAGGATGGCCCCCAGAGGCCCTCCTGGGCTCCCGGGGGACCCACAAGAGGGCTCCAAGAGGGCCCCAGGAAGGGCCCATGACCACCCAAAAGAGCTCCACGAGGACCCCAAGATCCCGCAAAAGAGTCCCAACAAGGCTCCAAGAGGTGATTTTGAAGGCTATGTAATCGTCCTCCTCCTCCTCCTCCTCCTCCTCCTCCTCCTCCTCCTCCTCCTCCTCCTCCTCCTCCTCCTCCTCCTCCATTTTCTCCTCCTCCTCCACCTGCTCCTCCTCCTCCTCGTCCTCGTCCTCGTCCTCGCCCTCATCGTCTTCCTGTTCCTTTTACTCCTCTTCCTCGTCGTCGTCGTGGCGGTCGTCGTCGTCCACCTTCTCCTTCTCCACCCATTCTCCTTCTAGATAACTCCTCCCCGTCGCGCCCCGAGGCCGGTCGGAAGGACGGGCCGCGCGTTTCGCCTTAGCCTTCCACACTACTTATGATCCTGAGACCTAAAATGTGCAAGAGTTTTACGGATGGAGAGCGACCCGTTTTCAAAATGTGGTTCTCGCCTTAGCGCCGCGCACATTCGGGCTCAGACATTGCTCGAGCTTCACGGATGGAGGGCAGTTCGTTTTCAAAATGTGGCTCTCGCCTAAGCGCCGCGCACCTTCGTCTTAAAATGTGCAATGAGATTCACGGATGAAGGGCGGCCCGTTTTCAAACTTTAGTTCCCGCCGTAGCGCCGCGAAGATGTGCTTTCAACCTTTGCAAACATCAAAAATAATGAAGGGCGGCCCGTTTTCAAAATGTGGCTCTCGCCTTGACGCCACGCACATTCGTCTAAAAGTGTGCGATGGGTTTCACGGATGGAGGGCGGCCATTTTTTCAAAATATAGCTCCCGCCGTAGCGCCGCGCACATTCGCTTTCAATCTTTGCAAACATCAAAAAATAATGAGGGGCGGCCCGTCTCAAAATGTGGCTCGCGCCTTGGCGCCGCCCACATTCGATTTTCTGATGTGCCAAAGCTTCACGAATTGAGGGCAGTTCGTTTTCAAAATGTGGCTCTCGCCTAAGCGCCGCGCACCTTCGTCTTAAGAGTTTGCAACAGTCCCAAAGATTATCATGGCGCACGTCCCGAAAATGATATGTTGGCACGGTTCAGGGTCGTCAAGACACAACAGTGACGCTGATTCACGGCGTTGATTTTCCAGGAATGGCATTTTGGCACAATTCCAGAACAGGGTGAACCAAGGTATCATACAGTCGAACCTAAGACATAAGAACATCCTTCAAGAGCATGAGACCCTCCGCTGGCCAGATCACACAGCATATCCCAGAGCACCCTCCTCGAGATGCACCAGAACATACAACACGAAGAACATGGGGGTGCCCTCCCCGGACCGACCCCGATATTATCAGAGTGAGGGGGCCGAACGGTCATTCATTGTCCCTGGGTGCGTGGCTCTAGTGCGGATCCGCGGTGAGGTTGTTGTTGCCGTTGTTGTTGCTGCTGCTGTTATTGTTGTTGTTTGTTGTCGTCGTCCCCTCGGCAACCCACCCGCGACCCACCCGCGACCCACCCCGCGACCCAGCCCGCGACCCAGCCCGCGACCCACCCCGCGACCCACCCCGTGACTCGCCCGCGACCCACCCGCGACCCACCCTGCGACCCAACCCGCGACCCACCCGCGACCCATCCCGCGACCCACCCCACGATCCACCCCGCGAACCGCCCCGCGACTCACCCCGCGACCCACCCGCGACCCAACAGCGACCCACCCCGCGAGCCACCCGCGATCCACACCGCGAACTGCCCCGCGACCCACCCGCGACCCACCCGCGACCCGGCCCGCGACACACCCACGACCCACCCGTGACCCACCCGCGACCCACCCCGCGATCCAGCCACATTGCTTTACCGAAAAGATCGGCGCCTGCGGCGGGCTCAATGCATAATTTGAAAAAAACTCAAACACTTATGGTGGGCTTCTTCAGAGCCTCTCAGACTGACGACGTCCTCGCCGCCCTCTCACTCTTATCCGCAACTGCGGGGTGCTACGTACCTCGGTCCGACAGTACAGCATGAGGCGCAGGATAATGCACACGTCACGAAAGAAGAACGACGCCCCAAAGAGCGGGAACGGCCCTCCGGTTTCACGGTGGGAGAGGTGGTCCTGCGAAAACTTGGCATGCAGCCCCATCTTTGCATTGATTAACTCTCCGCCGTAAGCACAGCTGCGTGCCGGGAATCCCACCAGCCCGTTGGACGAATCAAGGTGGTCTAACGAGTTCGTCCTTTCCTCTTCCAAAACCCTCTTCCTTTCCGAGAGGTTTACCTCCCCCCTCCCTGAGGTTTTGCGGAGCGGGCCACGATCGGCCAGAGCATCCAAGATGGCATCGGAGAGCGAGCCGCAATCACTGATTGTGTTGGCCCCCCTGGGAGGGGACCGAACGTTAGCAACCCCCATTTTGATCGATGGCCTCCAAGATGGCCCCAAAATGCCCCCCAGGGCTCCCAAGGGACCCGCAAGAGGGCTCCAAGAGGGCCCCAAAGAGGGCCTCGAGACCCCCCAAGAGAGCTCAAGAGGACCCTAGATCCCCCCAAAGAGCCCAAAGCAGTTTCCATGCGGCAATTGTGTGGGGTCTGTCCTCGTCCTCTTTGTCCTCCTCCTCCTCCTCCTCCTCCTCCTCCTCCTCCTCCTCCTTCTCCTCCTCCTCCCCATCATCATCATCATCGTCATCATCATCAGCAGCATCATCAGCATCGTCATCATCATCAGCAGCATCATCAGCATCATCATCATCATCAGCAGCAGCATCATCAACATCATAATCAGCATCAGCGTCATCACACTCATCATCATCATCATCATCATCATCATCATCATCATCATCATCATCATCATCATCACCATCATCAGCATCATCAGCATCATCAGCATCACCATCATCATCGATCACCATCATAATCATCAGAATGAACATCATCATCAGAATCGTAATTATCATCATCATCATTAATCATAATCAGCATCATCATCCTAATCATCCTCATCCTCATCCTCATCGTCATCGTCATCCTCATCCTCATCCTCCTCGTTCTCGTTCTCGCCCTTATCGTATTCCTTTTCCCTTTACACCTACTTTTCGTCGTCGTGGTCGTTGTTATCTTCCTCCTCCTCATGATCGTCGTCGCACACCATCATCATCATCAACAACATGTTCATCATCACCATCATCATCATCAAAATCCCCACGCGGGACCCAGGGATGGCCCGAAGAGACCCTCCAAGGCCACCCCATTGCTCCCAGAGATCTCCCTAATCACCATGGTTGCCCGCTTTGCTTCACCATGATTAAGTCGGGCGTGTCCCCCTACAGGCGGATTCTGGGCGAAAAATATGATATTGTCAACAAATAATAACACTGTAAGTGCCTCTTCGTCCCTTCCCCGTCATAACTCATGAGCAACGTTTCTGAACGGGCTGGCGGAGATTTTTCTGTCGCAACCGCAGGCGAAGGCGCCAGCGGCGAGTCGAGTCGGCTCGGACTACGAGCGGGGCTAATTGCCGGCGCGCGCGCTGGAAACAGCAGGACCTACCGCAGGGGGAAGCAGCTGCGCCGAGGGCCGTGCTGCAACCGTCAAGGCTGAGAAACAGCGCCAGGGTTGGGGACTGCAAGCTGCAGGGGCTGCCAGGAAGCTTCAAACGTGCGGGTACCCCGGGAGCTGGATCACCAGGTACGTGAATTGGACCTTGTCGCCACAGTGCGCCAGAGGTCGGCGCGCCACGGACGCGGCGAAGCGCAGGACTGCGTGACAGCCCAGCGCGTGGCAGCAGACCGACGGGAGACGCGCATGGTCGTCCAAGAAGGCTGAACCACTCCTGAGTGAACCCGCGGTCCAGAATCCCAAAGGCCAGCAGCACCGACAAACACGGCCAGCTGTGGCGGTGACTGAGGACCAGATGCCAGGCTGGCGGAGATTTTTGTCGCAGCCGCAAGCGAAAGCGCAGGCGGCGTCAAACGGGACGGGCGGGCCACGCGCGAACCTAATCGCCTAACGCGCCAGCAAGCAGAGGCCTAAGCGGCACCTCTGGCGGAGATACGCGAGGCGTGAAATTTCGAAGCTCGCCAGAAAGAGTTTCATGTGAAAATATAAGTGGCACGCTCGCCATGGCTCTTGCACGAGGAGAGCGACAAGGACGGGGGACCTGTGGACACCATCCTGGAGTTACCTCGGGGTCTCTTCGGGCCCGTCGGGGCCAGCATGGGGGGCCAAGGGCTCCGAGATGGCCAGCGGAGCGGATGACGACGACGACGACGACGACGACGACGACGACGACGAATGAACCACGACGAAAGGATTCAGCTCCAAGGTCTAGAGCACATCAGCCTGGGGCCAGGAGGGAGGGCCCTGGGGAGAGCGGCCGGGGGGGAGGGCCCAGGGGAGAACCGGGGAGGAGCCAGAAAGGGAGGACGAACAAGCCGCGAAACTGGGGCCAGGCCAGGGGGGAGGGCCCAGGGAAGAGAGGGGCTCCCCGAACCACCCCGGCCCCCAGAAAAGCACCCTTTGGGATGGGTTCGGGGGAGGGTCCCAGGAGGGCTCTGGGAGCTGCCACGCCCTACCGGAACCTGCGCAGCTCCTTCCTCACCCTGCTTCTGGGGGTTGGCGAAATTACACAGTCCCCTAAATGAAAGAAAGGACGGGGGGAGGAGGAGAAGGAGGAGGGGGAAAAAACTCCGCGGGTCCAGCATCCAACAGCTGCGCAAAGGCAAGACAGAGGAGCAGGACGACGACGACGACGACGACGACGACGGCGGCGACGACGACGACGACGACGACCAGGACGAGGACGAGGACGAGGACGAAGACAAGCACGACGACGACGACGCCGACGCCGAGGCCGACGCCGACAACGACAACAACAACGACAACGAAGATGTCGATGCCAACGCCGACGCCAGCAGAGGCGGCGGCACCGACGACGACAACGACGACGCCGACGACGCAGAGGCCAACGCCGACGCAGACGACGGCGGCGGCGGCAACAACGACGACGTCGGAAGCAACAATGACGACGAGGACGACAACGACGACGAGGACGAGGACGAGAACGACGACGACGACGACGACGACGACGACGAGAAGGCCAACGACTGCGGCGGCGACGGCTTCGACATCGACGCCGACAACGACGGCGGCGCCGCGTTGCCTGAGAACCAGAGCCGCAACGCGACACGGGGAAGTTGCTTTCACCCTGGCGCGGCGAGTGCGGCTGGCCGCCGCCAGCGCCGCCGTCGTCTTCGGCGTCCTCGGCGTCCTCGTCGTCGTCGCCGTCAGCGTCGCCAACGCAGTCTCGTTCTCGTCGTCGTCGCCGTCGTCGCCGATGCCGTCGCCGTCGCCGTGGCCATCGCCGCGGTGGCTCTCGTCGTCGTCGTCGTCGTCGTCGTCGTCGTCGTCGTCGTCGTCGTCGTCGTCGTCGTCGTCGTCGTCGTCGTCGTCGTCGTCGTCGTCATGGTGGTGGGTCATCGCCGTCAAGTCGTCCTCGTCGCCGCCGGCCTCGGCCTCGTCGCCGTCGTCATCGCGTCGTCGACAAGTCGTCCTAGTCGTCGACGTCGTCGTCGTCGGCGTCGGCCCGCGGCCTCGGTCCGCTTCATATACGTCCTCGTCGTCGTCGTGACCCTTCTCGTTGTCGTTGTCGCTCTCGTCGTAGTCGTCGCTCGTCGTCTTCGCCGTCCTCGTCGTCGTCGTCGTTGTCAATGTCGCCGTCGGTGTGTCATCATCGCCGTCCTCTGCGCCATCATAATATCTATCGTTCTCGATCTCTTCGTCGTAGATGCGTGGTCGTCGTCGTCGACATCGGCCTCGCCGTCGTCGCGCCCGTCGTCGTCTCTTTGGTCGGCGTCGTCGTCGCGTCGCCTTCGCCGCCGCCGCCCCCCCCCAACGAAGTAAGGCTGTCCTCTTAGTCACCCGACCAGCTGGGGCCGGGTCTCCTCCGCGCCCCCCCCCTGAAGTCTCCAAAGCTCACTGAAACATCCTAACAACTCGAAGTTAGCATAGCGAAAGATCCAACGCAATGCCTCTGCGAGTAGTGCGCGGGGCATGACACTCTCCTATAGGCAGCGCTATGAGAGTACTGGGGCCTCAGCCGGACCTCCCTGCGGGGCGACGGACCTCGTGAAAGGTATGCCGAAAAGGGCGAGCGGCGACATGCGACCCCTGCCGCTGGAGCCTAAGGCGGAGCTTAGTGGGGCAACGATCCTCGTCAGGGGGTGCATCGACATGGGAGGCGCGGCGGTATGCAACCGCGGCCGTAGGTGGAGCTCCCTGTGGGGTCACGATACGTGTGAGAGGTGTGCCGTAATGGGCGGCGCAGCGGAATGCGACCCCTGCCTCCGGGGCATAGGTGGAGACCCTGTGGGGCACCGATCCTCGTGAGGGATGCGCCGATGTTGGCAGCGCGGCGGTATGCGACCACTGCCGCTGGAGTCGTGAGTGGAGCTCCCTGGGGGGCGACGATCCTCGTGAGGGGTGTGCCGAAATGGGTGGCACCGCAGTATACGACCCCTGCCACGGAGACCTCATGGTGTCGATGATGGTGAGGATGGTGCCGACGAGAAGTATGAGGGGGAGTAGGAAGGGTTTTTCCAGTGCACCGCCGCCAACCAATTCGCAGGAGGCAAGAGATGCAGGATTGCCGCCGCAAGCCGATGCCCACAGCTCCATCAGCGACGGCGGCGCCCAGGCTGCCCACGCCGCCGCGCGCTTGGCGCCAGGTTTTGTGCCCGCGACGCCGTCGCTGGGACTGTGCGCGTTGCATGCAAACGAGGCGCGTGAAACGTGCCCACACCATGGGCAAGACAAGATGTCAAGCTCGCGTTCACCCAGCCGCGGCCGCTGCCTACTTGCAGGCGGCCAGAATCTGGCGACCGCTGCTGCTGAGAAAACAAAAGCGCGAACGACTTTGCCTACGGCACCATCTGCGCTTGCTGCCGATGAGGACCCGACCCGCCCGTCAGGCGGGCGCCCCGCCAGGTTGGCGAGGAGCTCCAGCGGGGACAACAACGTCAAGAGGCAGAGAGCTGATGACGGATGAAGACGATGGAGGTGGTGACGATGACTATGATTGTGACGGTGATGGTGACGGTGATGGTACTAGGGAGGGTTGATGGCGACGGTGATCGTGACGACGGTGGGACGACGTTCCACGGCGATTCGGCATTGCCTCAAACCAGACGGTGATGAGCTGGAGCTCGACGCCTGTCCGATGCGGGGTAAGTTCGAGCGAGGCCCAGCGACCAACGCCACGTTACAGGCCACGGCGGCAGCGGCTGCGGAGCTGCCGCCGCAAGCCCTTGGCTCAAGAAGAACGGCGAGCGCCGACGTTGCACCGCGCCGCCGACGCCGTCCGGCCATGCTAAGACACTGCAGGCGGACATGCGCACTCTGTGATACTGCAGAAGCGGACTAGGCGGCGCCGGTCTCCCTGCCACACATTTTTTCGCACATTCACACTCACTGCCGCCACAAAAGTCAGCGGGGGGCCAGACCTGGACCTGACCAAGCCTGGGCCCCCCGACCGTGCTGCGGAAGCAGACAAGGTCGGAGTAATTAGAAGAGGATGTACTCCGACGAGAAGACGATCAGCGGGAACGGCGTCATCACCTTCGCCTCGGCGGCGGTGAGCGCGTCGCCTGGCCCTGCTGCTGCCGTGGAGCACATGCGCCCCGCCCGGCGCCCACGGTGCGGCCTCGCGGGGGGGCAGCGCGGCCCACCTCCGAGCCGTCGCCCGGGCGCCGGCGCGGGGGCACCCACACGCTGGCGGCGCTCGCGGCCCCCACTGAACAGCCTGGGGCGACGATGCCTGCTGGAGCGACGCGGGGGCCCTCGGTCTGCAGCGCATCGACCGCTTCCCGAGCATAGGGCGTCCAACCTCGGCGGCGACTTTCCCAGCACCAGCTCGGCTGGGTTGCTGCATCATCGGGCCTGCAATTGTTTTGTGACTGCCTCAGCCCTGCGCCACCGCAATGCAGCGATTGTCTTGCAGGCCTTCACATTGTGTGTGGATCCTGTGCTCTGCGCCTATGCGCCTTCACAGTTCCCATTATCTCGCATATCTGCCGTCAAAGATTCTCTCCGCTCTGTGGTATGCCCGCCGCTGCAGTTGCAGTTGTCTCGAATGCCTCCTCTGTCGCCTCGGGCACTGTGCTCGCCGCTGCAGTGCAAGTGACTTTCAAGGTGGAGGCGGGTACGCGTGGGCCGCCGGCTCCGCTTACGTTCTTGGCAGCTGCAGTCCCACTCAAGCGCAGCAGAGGTTTAGTGTGCTAGCGATGTGCGGATCCTGGCGGTGAAGATCGCCTCCCCCTCCTCCTCCTCCTCCTCCTCCTCCTCCTCCTCCTCCTCCTCCTCCTCCTCCTCCTCCTCCTCCTCATTGTCATCCTCATTATTATCATCATCATCATCATCATCATCATCATCATCATCATCATCATCATCATCATCATCATCATCATCATCATCATCATCAGCATCATCAGCAGCAGCAGCATACTCATCATCATCATCATCATCACCACCACCACCATCATCATCACCATCATCATCATCGTCATCGTCATCGTCAGAAGCACCATCATCATCAGCATCATCATCATCATCAACATCATCACCATCATCGTTTCGTCGTCGTCGATAGCAGCAGCAGCATCGTCGTCGTCGACAACATCCTCAGCACCACCATCATCATCATCATCACCACCACCACCACCACCATCATCATCATCATCATCAGCATCAGCATCATCCTCGTCACCAGTATCATCATCATGATCAACAGCATCGCAATCGCCATCGTCAGCATCATCACCATCATCAATCAATCAGTCAATCAACCAACCAATCAATCAATGAATCAGTACATCCATCCGATCAATCAATCGATCAATGAACCACCATCAGATTCACTCAGCAGCATTCTCATCCTCGTTATCATCGTCATCGTCGTCGTCATCGTCATCGTCATGATCCTCATCGTCGTCATCGCCATCAGGAATCATCATCACCATCCACCTCCCCATCCCCCTCCCCGCCTCCTCCTTCTCCCCCTCGCACTCCTCCTCCTCACCCTCTCCTCCTCCCCCTCCTCGTCGTTGTCATCCCCCACTCCTCCTCCAGCTCCCTTCCATCCTCCATCCCTCCTTCCCGTCCCCCCCAGACCCCCAACGCCGCGCTTCTGCGACAACGTGGACCCCCGGAGGTTTGGACCCCTCCCCTGAGCCACTCATGTTCCTCCGGACCTGTTGTTTGACGGCCCCGGGGCGCGGTGAGGCCGCCCAGAGGCCGAAAGCAAATCAAACATTCCGCAAGGGGTCAGCCATTGGAGGCCTGGAAGATCCTAGATTCGGTATGGGTGATGATATTGCGGCCACCTTGGAAGCCAGAAACTTACCACCATCACCGAGATCGGGATCTTCTTCTCTCGGTGGCGGCACACCGCCGAAATTGGTGTTGGTGTCAACCTCTAGGTCTAGTGCCTCTCCACCCCTCCTCGGTGGCCCCCGCTTCTGCGACCTCGCTCCTCCCTCTCAGATGAGTGAGTGCGGCGACCCCCTGTGGCGGCCTCGTCGGAGTCGCTGGACAGCGGGTCCCTGCGCGCGAGACGAGGGCAGAGGACAGATGGGAGGAGGGACGACCGAACAGACCCCCCAAACCTAAAGGGGAGCCCAACCCGCTAGGCGGTCGTAGTTTTCACGACAGCCACCACGATCCAAGGGCGGCTGACCCAGGGTAGTGCTGTGGAGGAGATCCCTGAAGTGAAATGTTTCATCCTGGATCCGTCTTTGACGATCCTGGGGGCCCGAAAACGGCTCCAGGAGACCGAAAGAGGTCAAAAACCTTGTCGAGCCCAGCGCATGGAACCTGCTCCCCCCTTCCTGCTCGCCAGACTTAGTGCTGGGCCATCTCAGACCGACCCCCAGCCGACTCCAGCCCGCACTCGCGCGCTGAGCGCAATTACCGCCACGATCACGGACCCGACCCATGGGGAGTGTCCAGCCCTTGCGGTCGCTGCTCTGCCAAGCGGTGGCGCAAATCCAACACGCAGGGCCCCGGGCACAGTAGGCCGCGGTCCAAAAACACCCGGACCAGGGGAGGCACTCCTGGGGAAAAGCAACTTAAGCAAAGCAAAAAACAAACGGCACGCTGATTCATCCTGAAGTTTACTGTGGTCCCCCTCCTGAAGGAGAAAGCGGAGGAGGTAGAAGGGCTGTGAGCGGAGCTTGGCTTAAGTCGGGCATGTCCTCCTACAGGGGGATTTTGGACGAAAAATAAAAAATGGTACAACCCCAAGCTGGTCAAGAAGTACTTTAAAAATCGTCCCCAGACTATTGTTTGACTATTTTTGAATGCTCCTCCTGTAGAGGGACAGGCCCGACCTAACCTTAAGGAGAAAGCAGAGGAGGGAGAAGGGCTGAGAGCGGAGTTTGTCATTAGGGAGAGTGGGCCTGATGGAACCGGCTCCTGGGCTTCCCACAGGACCAGCCCTTGATCTCGATTCGCTTTGGGGTGCGGGGCCCTGGGAGGCATAAAAACGTCTGCGAGGAATCGGGGCCACTTTCGCTCAGAAGCCACTTTCTTCATGGCAATGTGTCTTTCTCGGACCTCCAAAAACAACGCCCAGACCTCTGCCGGAGGGTCCGAACCAAAAGTTTGACGGAAATCCAGCCGCGGCGGCAAGAATCCCTCCGCAGGTCCAAACAGCACAGAGAACGTTCAAAAACTGCTCGAACCTCGAACCTCGAAAACCTCAGGCTCCCATTCTCTGAGCGGGGGAAAAAATTGGACAGAGCAGGACAGGATAGGACAGGATAGGACAGGACAGGGCAGGACAGGAGGGGGTAGGATAAGATAGTTTGCTGAATGCGTGCCGTGCGCGCGCGTGGCAGCGTGCCCTAAGGGCCCCGCAGAAGTCGATCGACCCACCTCGACAGTGGCCGCCCCTGGGCTCGGCGCCCGTCAGCATCCCAGCTTAGGATTGGGTCGAGCGTGTCCACCTACAGGCGGATTGTGGGCGGAACCTTTTTTAAAAACAAAAAAAAATGTTCAAAAGATCGTCCCCGAGCGA